ATACCTTAATTATACTTCAAAAAAAGAATACCCTTAATCAACTATACTCCAATATATTAAAAAAGTTAAAAAAAAAGAATACTTAAATTTTTTTAAGGAGTCTAAAGTGTTAGAAGTACTTGAAGTTTAATAAAAATGTTTTCCTCATTATACTAAATGTATTTCTTTTCCTGTCCTATTTATTTTAATTGGAGTATAGTTGATTTACAATGTTGTGTTAGTTTCAGGTGTACAGTAAAGTGATTCAGTGATACATATACATATATTCATTCTTGTTCAGATTCTTTTCTCATATAGGTTATCACAGAATATTGAGGAGAGTTCCCTGTGCTCTACAGTAGGTTCTTGTTGGTTATTTATCTTATATATAGTAATGTGTGTATGTTAATTCCAAACTCCTGATTTATCCTCGTTGCCCCTTTGGTAACCATACATTTGTTTTCGATATCTGTAAGTCTGTTTCTGTTTTGTAAACTATATGTCAAAAAAATGGACAACCTAGAAGAAATGGACAAATTCTTAGAAGGGTATATAACCTTTCAAGACTGAACCAGGAAGAAATAGAAAATGTGAACAGATTATTCACAAATACTGAAATTGAAACAGTGATTTAAAAATTTCCAACTAACAGAAGTCCAGAACCAGATGGCTTCACAGGCAAATTCTATCAAACATTTAGAGAAGAGTTAACACCTATCCTTCTGAAACTCTTCCAAAAAATTGCAGAGGAAAGAACACTCCCAACTCATTCTATGAGGGCACTATCACCCTGACACCAAAACCAGACAAAAATATCACAAAAAAAGAAAATTAAAGGCCAATATCACTGATGAACATAGACGCAAAAATCCTCAGCAAAATACTATCAAACCGAATCCAACAACACACTAAGTGGATCATACACCATGATCAAGTGGGATTTATCCCAGGGATGCGAGGATTCTTCAATATACGTGAATCAATCAACGTGATACACCATATTAACATATTGAAGAAGAAAAACCATATGATCATCTCAATAGATGCAGAAAAAGCTTTTGATAATATTCAACACCCATTTATGATAAAAACTCTCCAGAAAGTGGGCATAGAGGGAACCAACCTCAACATAATAAAGGCCTTATATCTCCTATTTATTTTTAATATATATGCTACACTAAACTAAAATTTCATGTTATTCAAGCCTATTAATAGGTAGTAAGTACACATTTAAAATTGTATGAACTTACATTTGTATAGCAATTTCTTTTTATCATGCCCCATTGTGGCCATTAGCCCACTGGCTTGTCATAAGCCTGTGAGGGAGGCAGTATGATCAGTTTTCAGTGCTTTAGAATCATTTTAAAGGTAAAGAAAGAGTCTCATTAGGTCACTGGCCCAAAGTCAATGTTGGTCTGTAGATTCTAAGTACAGCCTCTTTTGCCTGCACCACAGAGCATCTCTAGGGATGATGCTTCTGATAAATGGGATACGTGTTGACCTGAGCAATGGGAACGCAGAATGAGAATTTGCACGGTTCCTGCTTTTTCTGTATCCTACACAAGACACAGCTTCTCAGGCCTCTCCTCCTTTCTAGTTAACTCCCATTATTTCATCTGATCTTTCCTCAAACTAAGCAGGCATCACACTGAAGCAATACAAAGGGCAATTAAAATATTTATCACATATTTATGATCAATTTATCTTCTCTACTGTACATGTTTTTAAAGGTGTTATTATAAAAGATCCTAAAACAGAATAGTAAATATATATTTTCAATATGACAGAATTACAATTTTTAAAAGCTAAATTATAATTTTCTTGGCATGTGAGTTTTGGTTGTATTCATAACTAAACTATTTTTTTCCTACTCTGAAAAGCTGTTTTGCTACAGGTCCAGTTCTTTTTTACTTTTAGCCACAAGGAAGTCATAAGCCCCTACCTAAATAGAAGCTGGTTACCATGGAAATCATTCTAATGCCACTGAATCAATATTTTGATTTTGCTGACATTTAATGTAAAAAGAAAAGACAGACCAAGATTTATAAAAGTCACTTTTCATCTTTGTTATAATTTTGATAGCTAGAAAAATTGTAAAGGAAACATATGTTCCGTAATGAACTCCAGTTAACTCACAATTATAAAGAATTGAGGATTCATAAAAGAGCAATCTACATATTTATATAATTTTGGCTTTAAGTACACACATATGCATGCATGCATTTGGACTCAAGAATTTTTTCCCATGTCTCAACTGAGCCCTGATTCTCTCCTGTTACTGAAGTCATAAGTTGGTAGAAGAGATTTGAATATATCCAGTTTTGCAATTGTCTTTTGATTAAGTGTTCTGAAGAGAAGGTGAAATTTGCATTGAGAATCACTCTTCCACAGAAGTTGACCATTTCTGCACTGAATCTTAATAGTCCATCTGGTCCACTGGCCACCCTCAAAGAAGCACGACAGCTGAAGGCTTCTCAACCCATCCTTAGAGGTCCTTCTGAGGAAAGATGTTGAACGTGAACCTAATGTTTAATAAGCCTCACTGACCATAAAGTAGTTTTCCAAGTCTGAGATAAGTCTTTGCTGCTGCTGTAATTTACTCACTGTCTCCCCTTCTGTCCTCAGAAGGAATAAAGATAACAGAGCTGCTGTCTTCTGTTTGATAACTAGCTATTTAGAGGCTTAGATCTTTAGATGGAGAAGGGATCTGAAAGAATTATGAGCTTCTCTACTTCAGGAATTAGCTACCTACAGCATCTCAGATGAATGGTAATAAGTTCATTCTTAAGACAATTGAATCACCACTCAAATGTTTCTTCTGTGGGACAATCATGATTTTCCACATGTGTCTACTTTGAATGCCCCAGATCCCCTTCCTGGGGGGTGCTATTCGGAAGTGTATACGTTACACTGCTTCCAGGAATGTTTCCAGGAGCATTACGCTCCTGATAACACACTCCTTACTGTCTGCTTGCCTTGTCTGTTTTATTTTCCCCTCCCCTTCCGATGGGTCTTTCATTCCTCTTTATTCTTGAATCATTCTAGGCCCTCATCATTCAGAGACCACTGTTCCAAACCAGTAACCTGCTTTGGAAAACAATCTAATGTAAATAATTATGCAGTTTTCTGGCAGTAAAAGTAGGAAAGGGGTGATTTTTGGAAACAAGATCACAGGATATAAAGAGAAATGAAAGGCACAATATATCAATAGCAGAGGAAACTTAGGAACAATATTTAAAATTTACAGAAGGCAGATCTCTAGAGCCTTTTAGTTTATTAACAAGTAAATGAAACACCTAAATTGTCTCTAAAACATCAATGTGTTACAAGTTGAAGGACATACTGATGACCTTGACTCATGAGTAAAAAGGCTCAGAATTCTAATCTGTTCCAAGACATCAGAGGAACAATAGAGTTACACAAACAGACACACAGACACACACCCATCTTCACTGCAGTGATATTCATTATAGCAAAACAAACTGGAACCAACCTAAGACCTCATCAAAGAGATAATGATTAAATAAAGTATCATGATGTATATGCCCCTCCTAAAAATGGTGTTTCCCAACAAACTGAATGCCATGGAAAATAGTCACAAGAAAATAACTGAAAATATAAAACATAGAACTCTATACACTAGGATTTCGATTCTGTAAATATACATATACACATGTTATTCACACATATAATCTCACAAACACACACTCATGATGTATTTTTACATATATGTGAAGTAGGAAAAAACTGAGCATAAGTGGAGATTTTCCCTATAGAATGCATGGGTTCGCTCCATCTCCAGGCACTTATTTGTATTCTTCAATATACTCTGAAGATTCTTTTTCTTTTTTTTTGGCTAAATAGGCACTTGGACACCAATATGGGAGAAAGGAGAGATGAGGCTATTAGAAAAGATGGTACATGCTTCCTGGGCACTCGTCTCATGGACTAGGTTTGAGCTTCGGTAGAAGGATTAGACCAGAAGATGAGGGAGCTTTTGTGAGGGACTGGTGAGCCCAGGTGACAAAGAAACCTACCCAGTTGAGGAAAGGACCACCTGGCTTCCGCTCTCTGCTGCAAGCTACTGGGAAACTTGGAACACTGGGCGCTCAGGGAAGCCAACTGGGGAGAATGTCAGGGACAGACAGGGTAAGAGAAAGACCTTGGGACCTCATACAGCCATGCTCTCAAGTTGGTCACTGGCAGCACTGGACACCCTGAAGCATTTTCCACAACTGACACACAAAAATCTGAATGCGTCTGTATCAAAACACACTTGCAACTACTCTCCCACCAAGGGACTCTCAGGAAAAACTCAGGAAAGCTGAAACTTATTTATTCAAGCAAGGCTAAAGAGCTGGTGAGATATAGTGTTAACCTGACCTAATTTATAATCATAGACCAGCAAGGAGACTAAGATATATTTGATTTATGTATTTCATGGCTGAGGAAAAATATAAATATAGGTAGAAATAGAATAGAGATTGAACTAGAGACTTTAATATGTATACGTGCACACGTGTGTGTATACTACAAACGTACACACAAACATGCATAAATTCATATTCACTGGAAGGAAGTACAGCAAAATGTTAAAAAAATGATCATTTCTAAAGACGATTACAATTTTTCTTCTTTATATTTTCCTGCATTACAAAGCTCCCTAATGATCACGATACTTCTATAATCATACAGATAATACTAATAAAAGCAAGAAAATATAAATTTTAGACATATTGCTAGGCAAGATAATTTTCTAATGATTCAAAGCTTAAAGGGAGCTGGAAAACTCATATATTGCTTTCCTTTTCCGAGGCTATAAATTAAATACATTTTTCTGGGTGTCATTTGACAACACCCAGATAAATAGCCATCCCCCCTGGATTCCTCTTTTCTAAGACTCAGGGGGAGGGAGACAGGACTAGGCGACCCAGGGAGGAAGGCAGATGCTGGTTAGTATGCGGATCCAGACACGTGGCCTGAAGTTTCTTTCTAAGTGAAGTGGGCCTGGCGGGTTTTACCTTCGTTCCGCTCGGGGCCTTTCCCGCTCTTACTGGCTGCCGTGCTGTTGACCGTCTCGGACGACGTGCTCAGCTTGGTGCTGGGGTCCCTCTTGGGCTTGGGGGGTGGTTGTCTCCGGGAGCTACAGCTGCTGTCATCGTCTGTGCCCCCGACCGAGTGCAGCGACTGCGACCTCACAGAGAAGCCACTGGAGCAAGGATGGGGCAGCCTGTCCTGAGGAGCGGGCATCGTCATGAATCCCATGCGGAAGTGTTTGCCCACGTAAGTTCCTTCGTGGCCTCGCCCTACTTCTCCACCTATGCTGTAAAAGAAAGACGAAACCCGCGCCAAGTGAGCCAGGATGTGCAAGATCATGGGCACAAGCATATCTATAACTGTTGATAGTTCACATTTTAACTTGACACTGGTGAAGAAACGTTTCCAATAACATGAAAATATTCTATGCTTTTGCATTCAATATGACAGTAAAGCAAATACAATTTAATCATAATCAGAAATTCTGGTATCCTAGTATCCACATACTCTCAAAATAGTATTCTAAAGAAAAAAAAAAAAAAGCTACCACGTAGCACATTTCATCTTCAATTGCTTTTCTCTACTTTCAGGTAAATCTTGTCTGTGGCTTAAAAAGGAAAAAAGAATTCCTTGTGACAATGACTTGTAGATTGCCTTTTTTTTTTTAATTTTTATTGGAGTATAGTTGATCTACAATGTTGTGTTAATTTCAGGTGTACAGCAAAGTGAATCAGTTATCCATATACATATATCCATGCTTTTTTAGATTCATTTCCCATATAAGCCATTACAGAGTATTAAGTAGAGTTCCCTGTGCTATACAGTAGGTTCTTATTAGTTATCTATTTTATATATAGTAGTGTATATATGTCATAGACTTTTGACACATGACTGAGGTCAAGGGGGCAGCATTTGAAACTCTTCTCCACTTCATCAAGATCTTTTTTTTTACTTTTACCTAGTTAATATAGAGGGAAAAACAAAACAACAACAACAACAAAAGGGGTTCTGTTACCAGTACAAGGGGGGAGAGAGAGATAGGAAGTGAAGAGGAGGTAAAGGAAGGAAGGGAAGGAGGGAGGGAGGGAGGGAGGGAGGGAGGGAGGGAGGAAGGAAGGAAGGAAGGAAGGAAGGAAGGAAGGAAGGAAGGAAGGAAGGGGAAAATACTTGCTTAAATCAACAGAATAATTGTTAATCTCTCTCGGGTTTCCAGAATCCTTTGGTTACACTAGTAACTTAGTTCTACTAATAGATTAGTCTCACAGAATCAAATAGCAGCATCTGATAAAGAGATGTATCCAGAGTTAAAATCTCATCCGATCCTAGGATAGTCCTATTCAGAGTATGCAAGGTTTCCAAATGTAAGGTTTTTAAGTTTTACATTGGAAAGTTTGAACAGAAATTTTAAAATATATAAGAAAACTCTCTCAGCTTGAAGCTCAGTTAATCATATAGGAAATGACTGTTGGGCACCTTTCTATTCTATTAAGTAATGGTGACTCTATGAAGAAAAAGGAAATGAATGTCAATATGAATTTTTAAGAGAGGTTTTTCTAGAGTTTTCCCCATTTTTGCTCATTCACCAGTAAAGGAAACAAAAAGAAGAATTGTTAGAAATATTGGGTTGATTTTCTTAGACATGTATGAAGTAAAAAAGTGTCTTTGAGTATATGAATTTTGGAAGCCTGTTGAATCTACCTTTCCAGATATAAATTTTTTGGGGCCTTTTTTTAATCTTAATTTTAGCTGGTTCTTTATTGTATCTTTCATGACTCTAATGTTTGTCATACATTTTACATTCCAGTGGGAAAAATCATGGTAAATATTTGTTTTTCCCCCTTCGCTGAAGGAGTTATGACAATTATATGACCCTTGTGAATAGAGCCAGAAAGGATTCAACAAGAATATGTGACTCTGATTCTGGTATTTAATTCTGATCACAACTTGCTATTCAACCACAAATGTTTTCTTTTTATATTTATTTCATTTTTTTTTCTGAGCATTATGAGTCGATATTCAGGTACTAGATATACTATCTTTGCAAAGCAAAATGAAGAAATATCAGTGCACTAACTGGAGCAGTGGATACCTAGAAGCATGAATGAAATCAAGCAAATGTCTAAGTGGAAGTTTTCACATCGTAGTAGTCAGTATCCTAAATCCGTGTAGTGTTTTCACCTATTTCACGTTCTGCGCTTTCTTCAAGAACATCAACAAAAAATTAAACTAGAATAAATTCAGATGGAATGGTTTGTGAAAAATCAGTAAGAATTTAAGGCAGAATGGTGTGGTGGAGGTGAGATCAGGGTGTGATGGAATGGGAAGATTTGTCATTGATTTGTGATGATTGTGACAATCTTTCTCATAGAAGATGAAATATTTGATCTCATCTAAATTTGCCTCAATCATTTTGCATGTCTTTTCCTTATTTCTGCTGCCATATTACTGAATAAAAGGTGCTTTGAGGATTATTTAGACAGTCATTCCCAGTAACATATCCACATGAGGGGATTTATGCATGTATTAATGCACATAGGCAGTTATGAGAGTTATGAGGAATAATTGTATCAGCAATTTCTCTGTTACTTTTGACCTAAATAGGGCCTACACATTTTCCCAGATAATTAGCTCTGCTGCTTCAAAATTACATTTTTTCAGCATAAAACAATTTCCTGTAACTCTTTATCCTTTTGTTCATATATGTAATGTGTACACACATAGACACACACACACACACACACACCACACACAAACACTTTTTCCAAAGAGAAATTCAGTGTATGCTTTAAACAATGGCAGGTCTCAGGTACAAATTCAATTTGACCAGGCTGTGAATGCAGGATGAAGATGTGGGGCTATGGGAAGTTGGATAGAAAGGCCGTTATCCAAGGCTGAGGGTAAGCAATAAAGGCTATGGTACACCTAGGTTCAAGAGACCAGTAAAGATGATTAATCTAAAGGAAATTGAATATTATGAAACACAGCATACAACTAATTCCTGAATTTAGGATAGCACCATGTGGAGATTTTAAAAATTCCTAGACCCATACTAAGGACAAATACCTGATCATATTTGTTGAATCAGGATCTCTGTAGCCAGTTAGCCATGCTCTGTAACTAATGAGTTTCTTAAAAAACTATATCCAGATGTTTTTTTTTTTTTTTTTTTTTTGCGGTACACGGGCCTCTCACTGTTATGGCCTGTCCCGTTGCGGAGCACAGGCTCCGGACGCGCAGGCTCAGCAGCCATGGCTCACGGGCCCAGCCGCTCCGCGGCATGTGGGATCTTCCCGGACCGGGGCACGAACCCGTGTCCCCTTCATCGGCAGGCGGACTCTCAACCTCTGCGCCACCAGGGAAGCCCCTATCCAGATGTTTTTGATGTAGTCAATCCAGAAACCCCCAGAAACATTAAGAACAATAGTTAGAGACATTAATGAGCTGACATCTGTTAGTTAGAAACAGCCAGGGAAACAGAGTTATCAGAAAGTGGGACAAAGGAGACTTACCAGAGACCAGGCAAAATATCACAGGTAAGACAAGGTACAATGTATTAGTCAGATCTTGTTAGGTTACCCTGAAGTAACAAATAATCCCCTATTCTTAGTTATTTTTAACAACACAGGTTTACTTCTTGCTTGTATTCTTTGGGTCAGCTGTGCATCAGCTGTGGCTGTATTCCACATGCCTTTTTCATTCTCGGATCTAGCCCCTGCTGAGATATGTTCTCATGGCAGAGAGAGAAAAGCACTCACGGAACCACACAGTGTCTCTTAAAGCTTCTGCTCAGATGGGGCATGTAATGTTGAACTCACATTCCATTGGCTAAAACCAGTCTTATGGCCAAGTTTGATGTCAACAGAGTGGGGACAGATTCTCTTCCAACAGGAAATCACTGCAAGTTACGTGACAATATGTGGGGATGCATAATCCTCTTCCAGGTAGGGGACCAAATACAGGTACAGCACTTGTAGCATATGCCTCTGAGATCTCCCTTCAAGAGGGAACTTGACATTAGGAATGAAGGTAGCTGACAACTAGTGACACATTGAGGGGTTTTGTGCTTCTTGCCCCCATAATTCTGGTCTCTACCTAGTTAGAAGTCTTGGTCTCCAAAGCGGGCATACTCTTTCTCGAAGATACAGTAAGGGTCCCATTGAACAACAAGGCTGTAGCTGCCTCCTAAGTAATTTGAGCTCCCTTTGTATAGTGGCCAGCAGACAAGAAGACAGGTCTCCATTGTGGAAGAGATCATGGACCCTGATCAATAGGAGGAAGCGGAGCTGCTGTTACAAGATGGTTCAGAGATAAAAATGTATGGGACCGCTCTGGTTACTCCGTTGCCCAGCTGTGAGTTTGAAAGGTCACCTGCAGCAACCTGGCCCAAGAAGGTTTTGTTGACCAGATGTTCCAACCTCTCGTTAAATTAGTCTCACCACCAGGCAAGCCACTGAGACCAGCAGAGGTGTTAGTTGAGAGTGAGGTGAATTTAGAATAAGTGTGGGAGGAGGGAGGTAATGCATATCAATTGCAACCCCCATATGAACTGCAGTGAGAGGAGCTATAGTTTCTCACACCAACTGTCCCCTCGTAAGTTTTCCCTCATGAAGCATCCGACAGGATCCATGAAAGAGCTGGTCCCCAAACCTGCAGAAGAGCATCTGCTGAGCGTAAGGGGTGAATGGCGGCAGCCATGAAACTTCTCTAAGAACAGCACTTAGCTGACAGCCACCAGCCATAGAGTCTTCAAATCAGATGCAGCATTTAGGTCAAGGCCACTCTGCCCGTGGAAAGCTCCTAGCTAACAGCTGAGCATATGAGGTATGGGACCTGGCTATTTCTGCCCAGTGTGGGAGTGCTTGTGTCTGAGTTTCCCTATTGGGCTGGCCGAGACTTGCCCATAGCTACACCATGGTCTGAAGCTCTTCCTATCCAATTATTTTTCCTTCCCCTTCTCCTTCCACAGGTGTCATGCTACGTTGTGGTCTGAGGCTTTTTCTGCCTTTTCCTGCTCCCTCCTTATCCCAGGCATTCTCCTCAATAAATCTCTCCCTCTAAATTTCATCTATCTTGGTATCTGCTTTCTGGAGGTCATGAACAAACATTCTTGGGAACGATCATACAATCTATGACATTCAGAAACCAAAGAAGCAAGAAAGAGAAAGTCTAATAACAAAAGTGAGACCCCAGAAATAAGAAATGCCTGTGAAAATAGGACAGTCTCTTGCTTCAGACTGAGTATTTAAATGCTGGTTGGGAAAGTAGGAACTAACTCCACTATAGGAA